CCCAGTGGAAAGAACAGGTCTTCAAAGAAGGAGGTACCTTTCTCTGAAGGGAGGAGAGAACCTCCACTTTGACTATGACCTTGTCTAAATGAGATAAGAGTCAGAGAACTCAAGGGGCTTCCATAGCCTTGGAAACTCATGACTGGTGCATAGGGAGATTACTGATGCCATAAACAGGAGTGTCAATTGGTAAAGTCAACAACAGGAGTCACTGTGCACTTACTCCTCATGTAGGATCTCTGTCCTTAATGTGCTGTACATTGAGGCTTAATGCTATAACGAGTACTCAAACAGTATATTTCACTTTGTGTTTCTGTGGGGGTGCAAACTGTTGAAATCTTTACTTAATGTATACTAAACTGATCTTCTGTTAAAAAAAAAAAAAGAAGAAATCAGCAATTCCCAACTTGACTCTCACTGGGATTAAACATGACAATAGGTCTGATCTGATTTCATCATCATTTAAAAAATCATCTATTATTTTTCACTTTATGTTTCTGTGTGGGAGCAAACTGTTGAAATCTTTACTTAATGTATGCTAAACTGATCTTCTGTATATAAAGAGAATTGAAAATGAATCTTGATGTGAATGGAAGGGGCGAGGGAGTGGGAAAGGGGAGGGATGCGGGTGGGAGGGACGTTATGGGGGGGGAGCCATTGTAATCCATAAGCCATACTTTGGAAATTTATATTCATTAAATAAAAGTTAAAAAAAAAGTAAAAAAAAAAAAGATTAACCTGGTAGCTATACCCACCAAGAATCCTCTGAAAAACTGAAAACACAACCCAAACAAGAAGTTCAAGACACTGGCTGGCCCAGCCACCTCTCCTGTAACATGGTAAGACCAAGAAAAACCCAAGAGGTAGCCTGTCAAAAGCAGGTTCAAAAAAAACAGCAGTTAAATTCACCTTTTTTGTAAATTATGTCTGCAAAGAGCAAATTACAAGCAGCATTTAGAACAAATACTTGTTCAAAAAGGCCTCGACAAATATTTGAACTAATTACTTGGTGAACAAGAAGTACAGTCCTGGGAATATGTTTTACTATATACTAGGCTTCAGATATTGTACTTTTTAAGAGATGTATTTATTTATTTGAAAAAGCAGAGTCAGAGAGAGGAAAGGAGAGACCAATAAAGAGATTTGCCATCCTACTGTTCACTCCCCTTGTACCGTAGCTGGGGCTTGGCAAGGCAAAGCAAAGAGCTCCATCTGGGTCTCTCACATGGGTGGTAGGGACCCAAGGTCCTAAGCCATCATCTGCCGCCTCTCCGGTGCCTTAGCAGGAAGCTGGATTAGAAGTGGAAGAGCCAGGACTAGATGGGCATTACAACACGGGATGAGGGTGTCCCAAGCAGCGTCTTAACCTGCTGTAAGTCAACATTAGCCCCTGTTATATATTTTAACATAAAAAATTAATAAGAGTAGCCACAGATAACGTACGTTTCATTTTTAGAACTTCCTCTGTTGTGGAATTTTTTTGGTTCAAATCTCTACTAAGTCCTTTCTGACTTTACGAGGATAATAGCACTGTAAATACTGTATCGATTTTTCCAATCATAGGTATTGATTACTAATAAAGGACTAAAACGTCAAGTACAATTGCATCTCTGTGCTCCTCTTCACACACCAACATATTTATCCTCACAATCATCTCAGAGGCTTCTTCCAGATCCTACCAGCTTGTTCAGAAGCACACGCTGCAGGATTGTTTATTCTCAAAGCTAAACCTGCACATTTTCTTGCAAAAAGACTCTTCAGACAGTAACAAAAACACACCAGCAGGTGGTGTCCTTGTGACACTGCTCTAAGAGAAGCTGGGAGCAGGGGACACCCTAATGTCGCTCACCCTGCCAGGCTCTGAGTTCTTCGTAGCTAGGCTGGGTTCCGGTATGCTTCTACTTAATCGATTAACAATACTTACTGAAGGCTTGCAAGTGTCAGCCACTCATCGCTCCACAAATGAACTCAACAGGCGTCCACTAAAGGGCTACAGCGCCTCTAATAATGCACGAGGCATCCACCACAGCTCTGTGTAACCAGCAGCTGTCCACTGCGCCTTTACCGCACATCATGCATCACTAGGCGCTCGGCACAGGCAAGAACAAGCCCGAAGCGATCTCTGTCCTCACAGAACTCTGAGTGTAGTGAGGACAACACACAGCAAGTCAGACTTCAGGAGCCAAGGGCAGTGCAGCGGATGTGTAACCCCAGCGGGTAGCCGGCCTGATTGGAAGGAAGACGGAGCAAAGAAGCAGGGGGCAACACAGCGAACTTTCCCCTGGGACCTGGGTAATGGGAAGGATTTAAGCAGGCGAACGAGAGACAAAAGACGCCTCTTGGACGTGCGTGGAGATAAATGTAAGCTTCAGGGGTATATACTCAAAGCTCTCACAACACTGGTTTAAAAGCATCTCAAAACGTGGGGTGGCTGCTCCTTGGGAAACCTCCATCCTATACTGGAGTGTCTGCGATCAAACTCTGGCTCCACTCCCGATTCCAGCTTCCTGCTAATGTGTACCTTGAAGGAGCAGGTGATGGCTCACGTACTTGAATCCCTCATTCTCAGCGAGAAGACCAGGCTGAGTTCCTGGCTCCTGGCTTCGGCTCTGGCCCAGGCCCTGGAGACTGAATCACTGCATAAAAGCTGGCTCACTCGCTCCCACTCTCTGTCCCTTCTTCACTCTGTGTTTTTCTCTCTTTGTATCTGCCTTTCAAATAAAACAAAAATAAGTAAATAAAAATAAAAGAAGAAAGAGAAATGCATTTGCAGTAAGATTCATTTTAAAAAGACCGGTATTATTCTTTAACAAACTTTGCAATTCAATCCAAGAAATCAGCTTAGTAATTTAAATGTTTGTATTAATTTAATTTGCCGTATCATCTTTGGCTTCGAAAACGTCTGACCCATAACACAAAGAAGAGAAAGTCCATATTCAGAGGACTGTGCTATCAACAAACTGCTATACTTTAATTCTCTCAAGATTAGAAGTTTGAGCAGACAATTAATTCCTAAGTTACATATAACTTTTTATTTTATTCATTCACACACATACACTGTTCCTATCTGTTGGCTGATTCCTGTAAATGCAAACAACAAACAGGCTGAAGGCGGGGACTGAGAACTCAATGAAGATCTCCTATTTGGGTGGCAGCAACCCAATCACTTGAGCCATGACCGTTGCCTTCCAGGGTCTACGTTAGCAGGAAGCTGAAGTCAGGAGCTAGCGCTGGGTACTGAACCTGGCATTCCAACATAGCACACATGCATCTTAACCTCCAGGATAAACGCCCACTCCAAGTTACACACAATTTCAACCCCTCTCCCCCCAAAAAGTCCTCATGATCAGGGCCAGTGTTTTGTCACAGCACATTAAGCCACCACCTGCAGCATTGGCATTCCAGTACTGGTTGTTTGACTTCCAGTCAAGTTCCCTGCTAACATATCTGGGAAAGCAGTGAAAGATGACCTAGGTCCCTGGGCCCCTGAACCCACATGGGAGACCCAGATGAAGCTCCTAGCTCCTCAGTAGGGCCTGGCCCAGCCCTGGTTGTTATGGCCATTTGGGGAGTGAACCAGTAGATGCAAACTCTCTGTCTCCTTCTTTCTCACTCCCTTTCTCCTGTAACTGAGTCTTTCAAATAAATAAGTAAATCTTTAAAACACAAAGTCATCATGGTCAGTTAGCTGAGCCTCTCAATTTACAGTGGAGGAAATGAAGGCTCAGAACAGGTGGACAGCAGTTCTCATGGTCACACAGCTACTACCAAACCAGGTCAAACACTCGTCTCCCTAAAATACTTTAAAAGCTTCAGTTATCTGGACTCAAACTGACTATATGGAGCCATCAGCAGGCAGCTCTGACAGATGCTGACACATACCCTGTGTTACCGAGACAGAACCTAGAATTGCATTTTAACCCAGTCTCTGTCTCCACTGCTTGCTCTCAAAGGGGTCTCTGCACACCACCCAGACTGATACCCATGTGGACAGCAGAGGAACAGCGGGCGTCCTGTGCAATGACACAGGAGGAGACTGGAAGACCTGACGGTGCCGGGCTCCTCCAGCACTGGGAGTCGGGCTGGGGGCGTGGAAGACTGGATGGTGCAAGCTTCCTCCAGCACTGGGAGTCGGGCTGGGGGCGTGGAAGACTGGATGGTGCAAGCCTCCTCCAGCACTGGGAGTCGGGCTGGGGGCGTGGAAGACTGGATGGTGCCGGGCTCCTCCAGCACTGGGAGTCGGGCTGGGGGCGTGGAAGACTGGACAGTGCAAGCCTCCTCCAGCACTGGGAGTCGGGCTGGGGGTGTGGAAGACTGGACGGTGCCGGGCTCCTCCAGCACTGGGAGTCAGGCGGGGGGGTGGGGGGAGTGCAAGCCTCCTCCAGCACTGGGAGTCGGGCGGGGGGCGTACCTCGCAGAGTGGCTGTGGGAAGCTGACCAGTGCATTCTGCTGCAGCTCTAGCCTCTCCAGGTGCTCCAAGTGGCCACTCAGGCAGCCCCTGCGGCTCAGGGCATCGACCTCCCTGAGTTCATTCGCTGAAAGGTCTAAGGAGGTGATGTACTCCCTCTCCGAAGCCAGGGAGGACACGCTGTCTGACTGCCTCCCGTGGGACTGCAGCTTGGTCGACCCTGTATCAAGAAACAGCAGAAACGTGAGCAAAGGGCTTGAATCCATTAGAGCAAGGTGTCCTGAACACCTCCCGGTGGCAATCTCTCCTCCAGGCACTGGAGCTTCAGCAGAAAATGCATTTGGGGGGCCGGCGCCGCGGCTCACTAGGCTAATCCTCCGCCTAGTGGTGCCGGCACACCGGGTTCTAGTCCTGGTTGGGGCGCCAGATTCTGTCCCGGTTGCCCCTCTTCCAGGCCAGCTCTCTGCTGTGGCCCGGGAGTGCAGTGGAGGATGGCCCAGGTGCTTGGGCCCTGCACCCCATGGGAGACCAGGAGAAGCACCTGGCTCCTGCCATCGGATCAGCGCAGTGCGCCGGCCGTAGCGTGCTGGCCACGGCGGCCATTGGAGGGTGAACCAACGGCAAAGGAAGACCTCCTTTCTCTCTGTCTCTCTCTCTCTCTCTCTCTCACTGTCCACTCTGCCTGTCAAAAAAAAAAAAAATGCATTTGAGGGCATGCGTCTAGCACCAGAAATGCATAATAAATTGAAAAAATTGAATTGGCTGGTGCAATGAAAAACAACAACAATCAAGAATATAAGGCACCGGCGCCGCGGCTCACTAGGCTAATCCTCCGCCTAGTGGCGCCGGCACACCGGGTTCTAGTCCTGGTTGGGGCGCCAGATTCTGTCCCGGTTGCCCCTCTTCCAGGCCAGCTCTCTGCTGTGGCCCGGGAGTGCAGTGGAGGATGGCCCAGGTGCTTGGGCCCTGCACCCCATGGGAGACCAGGAAAAGCACCTGGCTCCTGGCTCCTGCCATCGGATCAGCACGGTGCACCGGCCGCGGCGGCCATTGGAGGGTGAACCAACGGCAAAGGAAGACCTTTCTCTCTGTCTTTCTCTCTCTCACTGTCCACTCTGCCTGTCAAAATAAAAAAAAAAAAAAAAAAGACTATAGGCAAAGGAGAGGCACTGCAGGCACTACCTGCAGCTCAGACAATTCACAGCAAAGATAAAAATGCCTGCTGGCATGTATAAGAGGTCCATGTTTAACCTATAACTAAATCTCATTTTCTGTAGCCTGTGGAGTCACTAGGTAAACAGATGGAAAAGTTACATAAGATGAAATCGGTATCAAAATAATTTGAACAATCACTGTCTTCTGCCCAAAATACCGATTTCCTGAGGATAACTCTGAAATACTTACTCAGTGAGTCATCTGATGACAGGATTTTCCTTTTTTGCCTCCGTAAATCTTCCTGATCAAAAACGGGTCCCTAGTAAACAGGTAGTGAGGCAGTAAGAAAGCTGCTGTCGTTTTATTGGGAAAAGAATATTTTGAGATAGAAACAACCAGGAAAGTGTAATGGAAATAGGTAGTATTCAAAATTATCAAGTCAAAACAGGCAAACACAAATGAACAGCCCAATCACAAAGAGAAAAGATTTTACAAATCCATTATAGCTTCAAAACGACCTCAGGAAACACCCACTTTTCCTTCTTTAGCTGAAGTGTAAGGAAACGGAAAGGCGGAGTCGAAACAGAAGCTGTCTGGGCGCAGCTCCTCTCCTCCGTCACCGCTCTCCCAACCTGAGATGTCCTGGGTAAGTTCCAGCCGCACACAGTGCGCACGGAGGCCTCGCTGGACGCACTCAGCCACAGCACTCATCTTGGGAGCTCGAGTTAACACAAAACAACCCTCGTGTTTTCAGTGGCAAACGATGGCCAAAATCAGCCCCCAGGCTAACTTCAGTGTGACTTTTCCACCTCAGCCTGAAAACACAGCGGTTCCCCACCGCCCTAGCCAGGATGACCCAACGCCTCTCACAAACTGAGTCATGCGGTTCCTCCACAGCCGGTAACCATGGGGGACGTTGCAACAATGGCTTCTAAAAAACCGATGCTCAGTGTACGAAAGCTACGTGGTTTGATGAGCAGTGACATCACCCACTCCATCTTGCTCAGTGTCTTCAGTCCTTAGAAATCACTAAAGGATTCCTGCCTACCCATGGGACAAGGAACGTGAGCAGACAAGACGGGCCTAGCCTGGGCTCCATAGACAAGGAGCTCCGAGGGAAGGGTGCATCTGGTGTAGTGGTGAAGACAGCAGCTCAGACAACTGCTCCCATGTCTGAAGGCTTGGGTTCGAGTCCAGGCTACACTCTGGATCCCAGCTTCCTGTGAGGCAGACTCTGGGAGAAAGCACTGATAACAAGGAGTGGGTCCCTCCACTCATACGGCAGACCAGGCCCACGCCCAGGGGCTGCAGCACACAGTGAGTCAATCAGCAAAAGGGAGACAGTGCTCGCTCACTCCCTCTCTGTCTTTGCAATAATTATTTAAAATTAGATAAAAGAAAGAAGGGTAAAACAATCTGACATGTGCCTACTCAGTACATTGATACCCCAACAAACTCATATTCTACAAGCTAAAAAGTCTCTAAATACGAACTTAAAATGACTAATGACTAACTTTTTTGTACATAGGCTGCATAGAATTTTTACATCCTTGTCACTCCCAGCTTAGGCACAAGTATGAGTTGTCAAGAGAATGTGATCCACGATACACAATCACAATTTGACTTACCAGTGAATTGGAATGCCTTGGCAAATTTGGGGAGCAGCGCTGCAATACAGGATCCCGGTAAAACTCTCCTACACCAATTGAACTTGATTTCTTTCTCACAAGAAATGAGCCTTCACTTCCTATTTTGAAATGATAAGATGACAAGAAGACGAGTAAGACAAGTGGACTCTGTTAGGTGCTAATGCAGCAGTTCAAGCACGGTATGCTGAACGTTTTCATTAAGAGAAATTTCACAGTCCATTCCCTTTGTAACATCTTTAAAATGATAAACTGCGTTGGCTTTTCCTTTTTAAAACTGGAGTACATCTGTCTTCATCACTATGTATGTATAGAACAGCTATCATCCACTAGACATTGAATAAGTGCTGGATATGATAGCAGGAAAAAATAAATCTATGCCTCAGAACAGCTCACTGGCCGGTGGGAAAACTAAACGGGTGCACCTGCTGTAGCCCATCTACACAGGGAGCACAGTGCAATCTGACCAGTGCTACTCCTTTCTGTTTCTCTGGGATTTTCTTACAAACCTCTCAAATCTCGCTTTAAATATCAGAATCATACTTGAAATTACCAAAACATTCCACAATGCTGGGTATGTCTCTATTTCATTTCCTCATGTCCTGGTTTCTCTTATGGACCAACATGGAAACAAACATGAGTTGGCAACAACTGTTTTATAAGTGAAGGGAAGAGAATGAATCTGAAATACATCAATTTTCAAGAAACTAAAGATTTTAAAACTCCCATTTTTTAAAGATTTATTTATTTATTTGAAAGTTAGTTATAGAGACAGAGGGAAAAACAGGTAAGACAGAGGTCTTCCATCCACTAGTTCACTCCCCAAAGAGTGGCAATGGCCTGCAGTGGGCCAGGCTGAAGCCTGGAACCAGGGGTTTCTTCAAGGCCTCCCACTTGGGTGCAGGGGCCAAGCATTTGGGCCAGTTGGTTTCCCAGTCCATTAGCAGGGAGCAGTATCAAAAATGGAGCATCCGGGACATAAACAGGTACCCATATGGGATGCTGAAGTTGCAAGCGGGGGCTTTACCCACTGTGCCACAATCTTGGCCCAAAAACTCACATTGTTAAGGCTAAATAATACAGAAGTATTTCTGAAAAAAATTGTAAGATTTAAAATTATACCACTGTTTATTCTGAAATTCAGAGAATTTATTTTCAGTGTAAAAAACAAATTATAAAATCAACATTTTAAAAATAACCTCATACAATTCAAGATAAGTTTTGACACAAACAACTCCTTCCTGATTCATTAATATTTAATAAAATTTAATTAATTCTATATTTTAAATTATTTTTATGCTTAAGAAATCTAATAAGCTAGAACTTTATTATATGTATCTCATAAACATTAGTTATAATATTGACCGCTGTTGCGGTCATTTGGGGAACAAACCAGCGGTTGGAAGACCTCTCTCTTTCTCTCTCTGTTTCTGCCTCTCTGTAATTGCCTTTCAAATAAATAAATCCTTAAAAAATATTTGAATACAAGAATATTATAAAAGGAATGTAGTATATATATATATACATATATATTAAGATTTATTTATTTATTTGAAAGACAGAGTTTACAGAGACAGAGAAGATAAAGAGATCTCTCTTCTGCTGGTTCACTCCCCAAATGGCTGCAACAGCTGGAGCTGGGCTGGAACACAGCCAGGAGCCAGGAGCCCCTTCTGGGTCTCCCGCTTGGCTGCAGAGGACCAAACACTTGAGTGATCCTCTGCTGCTTTCCCAGGCACATTAACAAGGAGCTGGACCGGAAGGGGGGCAGCTGGGACGTGAACCAGTGCCCATACAGGATGCTGGCACCACAGGCAGCAGCTTTACCTACTACACCACAATCCTGGCCCTGAACATAGAGTATTTTATAATTTTTCTCATGTTAACATTTCTAACATTTTGCTTTATTTAAAATATTTGAGAGGTGGCGCTATGGTGTAGCAGATAAAGCTGCCACCTGCAGTACTGGCACCCCATGTTAGCGCCAGTTCAAGTCTTGGCTGCTCCACTTCCAAACCAGCTCTCTGCTATGGCCTGGGAAAGCATTAGAAGATGGCCCAAGTCCTTGGGCCCCTGTACCCACGTGGGAGACCCAGAAAAAGCTCCTGGCTCCTAGCTTCGGATCCGCACAGCTCCGGCTGTTGCGGCCAATTAGGAAGTGAACTACGGATGAAGACCTCTCTCTCTCTCTCTGTTTCTCATTCTCTGTGTTAACTCTAACTTTAAAATAAATCTTAAAAACAAACAAACAAACAAACAAACTATGCATCTCTGCGGCTGGCACTGTGATGCAGCAGGTCAAAGCCCCAGCCTGCAGTGCTGGCATCTCATATGGGCACAGGTTAGAGTCCTGGCTGCTCCACTTCCCATCCAGCTCTCTGCTAATGCACCTGGGAAAGCAGTAGAGGATGGCCCAAGTGCCTGGGTCCCTGCATCCACATGGGAGACCTGGAAGAAGCTCCTGGCTCCTGGTTTTGGATTGGCCCACCTCCAGCTGTTGCGGTCATCTGGGGAGTGAACCAGTGGCTGGAAGACCTCTCTCTGTCTCTCTGCCTCTGCCTCTTTGTAACTCTGCCTTTCAAATAAATAAATCTTTTAAAAATGTATTTGAAGAGAACTATTTCAAACATGATGAAATAATGAGGACAAGTTTTGCCAATCCCCATAAAGAACCAGAAAACTGCACAAAACAAACCACAGAACTGGGTCCAGACACCGGGCTACAGGCTGTGCAGGACTGCGGAATCCCTGCAAGAAGGGAAGTGGGTTGGGTGAGCCTGCGATCACATGGCCTTCTGCCTGGTGGCAACTTAAGGGCCAGGGACACAAGAAAAGGAATTCAGAGAAAGCCTGAGATGAGGAAACAGCGGGCAGTGACTGCAGAGGCTGTCAGCGCTGGGACTCCCGGAATGGAGCTCGAGAAAACAAGCTCAGTAACCTGCTCGAGGTTTCCAACACGCTGCACCAGAAGAAACGTGAGAGACGCCTTCAGAGGAGGGCAACAGCACCAAAGCGCACCTGGATGCACACTCAGGGACAACTCAACAAAACATTTACAGCCCTGTTTCTGCATCCAGTAACGCAGCCTCAAAATTCACTAAGTATAAACTTTGATTTTACAAATCAACAAGTCAAAGGTCAAAATGTCTTTCTCAACTACAAATACAAAGAAAAATCAGTACAAGCACCGAAGATGTGAAAACCACTACCAACTTGACCCAACTGACATGTCCCGGAAACAGCTGAAGACTTGCTTGGCAGTTGCACACAGGACATGATCAAGTACTCCTTACACAGCCCACAGTGCTTATGTCCATAAAACGGAAAGGACAGGGGCCGCCGTCATGGCGTAGCGGGTAAAGCTGCCGCCTGCAGTGCCTGCATACCATATGGACATCGGTTCGAGTCCCAGCAGCTCTACTTCCAATCCCACTTCCTGCTAATGGCCTGGGAAAGCTGCACAGGATGGCCCACATACTTGGGTCCCTGCCACCCACGTGGGAAACATGGAAGAAGCTCCAGGCTCCTGGCTTCAGCTTGGCAAAGCTATGGTCTTTGTGGCCATTTGGAGAGTAAACCAGAGGAAGGAAGATCTCTATTTATCTCTTCCTCTGTCTGTAACTCTGCCTTTCAAATAACTAAATAAATCTTAAAGAAAAATAAAAAGGAAACGCCTGAAAGGGCAGAAGCCACCAGGATTGGTTCCCTTACCACAAAACATTAAACTGAAACCAGTAACAGAAAATTTTGCTAAAAACCCCCGAAGATTTGGAAAATCAGAGACAGTCTTCTAAATAACCCATCAAAGAAGTAGTCAATGGAATTAGGAACTTTTATAAAGTGTCAGAATTACACAGAGAAAGGAGAGGCAGAGACACAGAGAGAGAGGTCTTCCATCCGATGGTTCACTCCCCAGATGGCCCCAACAGCCGGAGCTGTGCTGATCCAAAGCCAGAAGCCAGGAGCTTCCTCTGGGTCTCCCACGTTGGGATAGAGGCCCAAGGACTTGGGCCATCTTCTACCGCTTTCCCAGGCCACAGCAAAGAGCTGGATCGGAAGTGGAGCAGTTGGGTCTCGAATCGGCACCCATATGGGATGCTGGCGCTTCAGGCCAGGGCTTTAATCCACTGCCTACCGCGCTGGCTCTGAAATTAGAAACTTTTAAAATGAATGAAAACAGAACAAACTTTTGGAATGCAGCTAGTGATGTTTAGAAGGGTACATATGTACAGACATAAATATTTATATTATAGATAAAAGGATCTAAAAATCAGTGTTGTATACTAAGAATCTATAAATAAAAAAGTCAATTCCATCTCCAGCCACTGTGGCCATTTAGGGAGTGAACCAGTGGACGGAAGACTTCTCTCTGTCTCTGCCTCTCCCTATCTGTAACTCCACCTTTCAAATAAGTAAATCTTTAAAAGTAGAGTCAATTAATAAAAATTGAGAAAATAAACATTAAAGAAAAATCAATAAAAAAGAAAAAAGAAAACCAGTGCAATAAAAATCTGATTCTTTGAAAACATTAAATAAAGTTGACAGTTGAACTAGACTGAACAAGGAAAAGAAGAAAAGATACCAATAACCAACATCAAGAACGAACAGATACCACTCTAGATCCCAAAATCACCAACAGCATAATAAGACAGTTATCATAAGTAACATTAAGCAAGCAAACTGAGAAACTTACGAAAAGGATATATCCCCTCAAAGTCACAAATTACTAAAACGGTCTATAAATCACAATCATAAATACAATAAAGTTATTAAATTTGTAATTAAAGTTTTCCTCCCACAAATTCCAAACCTACACAACCTGTATGGTAGGTTCTACCCGATGTTTAAGAAAGAAGTAGCGCTGCTACCCAAACTCCTTCAGAAAACAGCGGAGATGGGAACCTTCCAAACGTACTTTAAGAGGTCAAATCACTCTTTTAATTATTACGAGGAAGCAAAAACTACACAATAATAACCCTCACAGATGCAAATCCTTAACTAAATTTAGAAAATACAGTCTAATATTTATTATATGAAATTGCAATGAACTGTAGCCAGTGAGCTTTATCCCAAGATTTCAGGTTTGGGTTAACAATAAAGAAAAATCAAGGTAGCTCATCACATTAGCAGAACAAAAAGGGAAAATAGGACCATTTTGGCAGGGGCCGCGGCTCACTAGGCTAATCCTTCGCCTTGCGGCGCAGGCACACCAGGTTCTAGTCCCGATTGGGGCGCCGGATTCTGTCCCGGTTGCCCCTCTTCCAGGCCAGCTCTCTGCTGTGGCCCGGGAGTGCAGAGGAGGATGGCCCAAGTCCTTGGGTCCTGCACCCCATGGGAGACCAGGAGAAGCACCTGGCTCCTGCCATCGGATCAGGGCGGTGCGCCAGCCACAGCGGCCATTGGAGGGTGAACCAACGGCAAAGGAAGACCTTTCTCTCTGTCTCTCTCTCTCTCACTGTCCACTCTGCCTGTCCAAAAAAAAAAAAAAAAATAGGACCATTTCAACAGATACAGAAAAGCATTTTCCAACACCCCTTAGTGATAAAAAGACTCAGAAAACAACCACCGGGAAGCAGCTTCACCCACATTTATGGAAAACCACAGATACCACACTTGGTACCTAGAGACTGGATGCTTTTCCCTGCATTTGGAAACCAAGCAATGCTGTCCAGTCTCCTCCCTTCTCCTCAGCACAGTACTGCAGATCTTAGTGCAACAGTTCAAGAAGAAATAAAACGTACAGACTGGAAAGCAAGAAGTAATGCTGTCTGTATTATTCGTAAACAGTTTAACAGTGAACACAGAAAATCCCACAGAATCTACAAAAAGTTACCAGAAGTCATACATGAGTTTAGCAAGTCCACACAATGCAAAACTCATATAAAAGCTAACCGCATTTTTTAAAATTTTATTGGTTTACCTTTCACATTTATTTTTCATTTCACTCAAATATTTTTCCTTTTAAAAATTTAATTTTACTCATTTGAAAGTTAGAGAGAGACCTCCTATCCTCTGGGTTACTCCCCAATGCCTGCAACAGCCAGGACTGAGCCAGGCCACATCCAGGAGCCAGTAACTCACTCCAGGTCTCCCATGTGTGTGGCAGGGACACAAAATTACACATCACAACAGTATGAGAAAATCTGCAATGAACAGCACTGCTAAGAGAAATCTGCAAAGACAAACATGGAAATACACACTGCATTTATATGCTAAAAAAATCATGCTATTGTTAAATCCCTAAAAATTTATTTACATATTTAATCAATATAAATTTTAATACATTAAACATATATTTAGATACATATTTTATTTGTAAACTAATTCTGTATTAAATCTATATTGTCAATTCTAGTAAAAACCTCAGCTTAAAATTAGTCGATTTAAAGAGTACATGAGAACACAGAAAACCCATAATAGTGAAAAGAACTTTGCAGAAGAATATCAAAGACCTCATACTACCGATTTCAAGACCTGCTATTGACCTGGCATAAACAAGACAGCATGGCCCTGGCTTCACGAAAATATGATCCTATTGCACAGAATAAATAATGCCAAAAATAGAACTAAACCTATAATTATCAAATAAGTGAACAAAGTTGTCAGGAATTTTTTCCCTGAAGAAACTTAATGAAAATTAGTATTTTCAACAAATGACACTGGTATATATAAATAGAAAAACAAAATACATATATATGTCCATAGTTACATATATATAAATATAGAAAAAAAGTCGAATTTTTATGGAAAACATGCAAAAATCAACCCAAAATGGATTATAGATCTAAATGTGTAAGATTTCAACACTTCTAAGAGGAACCATAGGAGAAAACACCCACAAATACAGGCTAGGAAATTATTTCTTCAATGGGATAGAAAAAGAACAAGTCACAAAAAAAAAAACTGCACTTCGCCAAAATTTAAAACTTTCATTCTTTAAAAATTCCATTCATGAAATGAGAAAATAAGCTACAATTAGATAAAATACCTACAACAAATGCCTCCAACATAATTTCTATCTAGAATACACAAAGAACCCTTCCAGTATGATGAGACTGCAAACCAATCAAGAACAAAGTATTTGGGCAACCTACGAAGGAAACACACGAATCACCCCTCAGAAAATGGAAGTATCCTCAGCCTTATTCGTCCTTGAAGAAGTGACAACAAATCCAAATGAGCTACCACCACACCTGCACCAGGGGAAAGACGACACAAGTGCTGACAAGGGCACAGAGCAAGTGCACAGCTCAGGTACTCCTGGTGCCCGGCACAACCACTCTGGGAAGAAGTCAGACACAAAAGGGTGCATCCTAGATCGTTCATTTTGATTAAACTGGAGAAAACACTAACTCACACAATAGTGACGGCTGACAAGTGGTTGTTGGGGCCAAGGGCAGAAGGGCACTTTTCTCTGAAGAGGCACAAAGGCCTGTCTTTGCATGAAAGAAACACTACAAAATTTGACAGACCACACAGGAATGTACAAGTCAAAATCCACAAAAAGAGTTAAAATGAAATTTTTTTTATATTTATTTTTTGACAGGCAGAGTGGACAGTGAGAGAGAGAGACAAAGAGAAAGGTCTTCCTTTGCCGTTGATTCACCCTCCAATGGCCGCCGTGGCTGGCGCACCGCGCTGATCCGATGGCAGGAGCCAGGTACTAATCCTGGTCTCCCATGGGGTGCAGGGCCCAAGCACCTGGGCCATCCTCCACTGCACTCCCGGGCCACAGCAGACAGCTGTCCTGGAAGAGGGGCAACCGGGACAGAATCCGGCGCCCCGACCGGGACTAGAACCCGGTGTGCCGGTGCCTCAAGGCGGAGGATTAGCCTATTGAGCCGTGGCACCAGCCAATAAAACTGATTTTTAAGAAGACACAAGCGATGGGCATTTGGCACAGCAGTTAAGATGTCACTTGAGATGCCCTCATCAGCTGCCTGGGTTCCAGTTTCAACTCTGCTCCTGATTCTACCTTCCTGATAATGCGCACCCGGGGAGGCAGGAGCTGATGTCTCCCGTCTGTGGCACCCTGCACCCTCATGGGCGACCCAGATGGGATTCCCAGCTGCAGCCTTCAGCCTGACCCTGTCTTAGTGTTGTGGGCATTTGGGGAGTGAACCAGTAGATGGGCTATCCCTGTCTCTGTCACTCTGTCCCTATGCCTTTCAAAACAAAATAAATAAATAAATACAATTTTTAAAATTAAAGTATCTGGATGTTGGCTGTAGCATTTTAGAATAATTCTTGCTTTTAGGACTCCCAAATAACTTTACTCAGTCACCCAGAGTCTTTGATCAAATTGTTAATAAAAAAGCTCTTCATCCCATTTTTATCAAACACCATTGTGTTAATCTCAGCCCAATTCACCATCACCATATGTGTTGTAGTATCACTGCATTTTAAAAGCTTTCTCCAGTGAGCTATTGAAATGTTACTATTATTTTAACAATAATAAAGGTAAATATTTTCATTAGGCATTTCTTACACATGAGTATGGCCCCAGGCACTCAACAACACATATTCTCTAATTCTTAGAGAATATGTACACAGCTGGGCAAGGTTGGCGCCCCAAAACTCAACAAGGTTATAGGGCTTTCAGAGCCAGAAAACTCTGTCACCTGCAGGACACAGAACCCAGTTCCAGCCTGAGTGAGAGTTCTATGACGAATGACCATTAGCCACATCGCAACTAGAAGCTGCAGTCACGCTGCCTGGAGGTCCTGTTTCAGCGTACTCAGTAAGCATACCTGCTTCTGAGAAGGAACGTGCTTTACTCAAGTTTTTTCGGGTGCATTCAATCAGGTTTCCGTCTCAGGTCCTGCTGGTCAACGTTCATGCACAGGTGTGATAAAGGAACTACTTAATCCTATAAATACCTTCACTGTCCAGATCATCGCTCTGACCAAACACACTGTCCATCGAAGAGTCGGGAATGAAGGTCCACTCATCCAACTTGTCCAGCACGCCCTCGGGGAAGTTCTCCTCGCTGCCTGGGGCGGCCCCCTCCTCCACGGCGCTTTTCATCTGATGCCTCAGCACCATTCTGGCTAGTATAGAGCCAATATCTAAAATAGAGAGACACTGCAGCACTTAGAAATCAACACTCACAAAAGCACCTGTTACACCAAAGTTCTCCAGTAACCTTTCGCATTCTTTCTCCCAAAGTCACCTTAAAAGGGATACCAAATAATTAGTAGGCGATAACACTTGTAACGATCACAAGGTTTCTGCTGCAGTTTCCTGTCAATACACACCCTGGGATGCAGTAAGTGATGGCCAAACCGCTGTGTCCCTGCCAGCCATGTTAGGGACATAGATTAAGTTCCCGGATCCTGGCTTTAGACTAGCCTAGTACAGACTGCTGTGGACATTTAGAATATGAACCATTGGATGGGAGAGTACTCCTGTGTGCTCTCTTTCTCACTCTAAACCAGAGCATACTATCAACCCAGAATACTGTACCCTGCAATGAAGGTGAAATAAAGACCTTCCCAAACAAATAGAAATTCAAAAAATCTGTCACCACTCATCCAGCCTTACACAAGATGTTTAAGGATGTGCTACACACAGAAACATGGTCATCACTAGGAAAGAAGGTAAAGGCAAAAAATCTCCCAGGAAAAGTACTAAGGAAATATGAAGTAAACAACAGGAACACTTATGGAAAAATGGGAAGGCCAAGTCATTCCTTATCAATAGTCACCTTGAATAAAAGTGCCCTCAACTCTTCAGTTAAAACATACAGACTGGCTGAACAAGACTTAAAAAACAAAATCTCTGTATTTGCTGCCTACAAGAAACACATCTCACCAACAAAGACACACAAATACTGAAAGTAAAAGGATGGAAAAAGATATTCCATGCTAACAGAATGAAGCTGGAAATCAACACTCAAGAATTTCTAGAACATATGCAAACACATGGAGACTGAACAACATGCTCCCTAATGAACAGTGGGTCAAAGAAGAAATCAAGAGAAATCAAAAAAATTCTAGAAATGAATGAAGACAATACAACATATCAAAACTTATGGGATACAGCAAAAGCAGTGTTAAGTGGAAAGTTTATAGCAATTCTTGCCTTCATCAAGATATTGGAAAGGCACAAAGAAATGGGCTATCAGTACATCTCAAGAACCTAGAGAAACAACAAATTAAACTCCGAATTAGTAGGAGGAAAGAAATAATTAAAATTAGAGAATAAACAAAATTGAAACCAAAAAAAAAAAAAAACTACCAAAGAGCATTGAAATGAAGAGCTGGTATCAACAAAATAGACATGCCATTGCTCCCCCCAAAAAGGGAGAAGATCCAAATCAATAAAAATCAGAGATGAAAAAGGAAAGGTAACAACAGATACAATGGGAATGAAAAGAATCATCAGAAATTACTACAAGAGCTGTATACCAACAAACTGGGAAACCTAGAAGAAATGGACAGATTCCTAGACACATAGAATCTACCCAAGATGAACCATGAAGACATAGAAAACCAAAGAGATCCATAACCAAGACAGAAAAATCAATCAGTAATAAAGGCCCTCCCAACAAAGAAAAGCCCAGGACCAGATGGCTTCACTGCTGATTTCTACCAGACATTTAAAGAAGTAACTCCAATTCTTCACAAGCTATTCACAACAACTGAAAGAGAGGGAGTTGTCCGAAATTCCTTCTATGAAGCCAACATCACCTCAATTCCTAAAACTGAAAAAGATGCAACAGAGAAAGAGAATGACAGACCAATATCCCTGAAGAACATAGATGCAAAAATCCTCAACAACATACTGGCCAATTGATTCCAATAGCACACCAGAAAGCTCATTCACTTGGACCAAGTGGGATTTGTCCCTGGTATGCAGGGATGGTTCAACATTTGCAAATCAATCAATGTGATACAGCACATTTACATACTGAAGAACAAAAACCATATGATTATCTCAATAGATGCAGAGAAAGCATTTGATAAAATACAACACCCTTTTATGATGAAAACTTTAACCAAACTTGGTATAGAAGGAAGAATACTCAACACAATCAAGGCTATTTATGACAAACCCAATGCCAGCATGATATTGAATGGGAAAAGTTGGAAGTATTCCCACTGAGATCTGATACCACACAAGGATGCCAAGTCTCACCACTGCTATTCAGGATACTACTCGAAGTATTAGCCAGAGCAATTAGGCAAGAAAAAGAAATCAAAGGGATACAAATTGGGAAGAAAGAAGTAAAACTATTCCTATTTGCAGATGACATGATTCTATAAATAGGGGATCGTAAAGACTCCACTAAGAGACTATAGGAACTCATAGAAGAGTTTGGTAAAGTTGCAGGATATGAAATCAACACACACAAATCAAAAGCCTTTTTATACACAGACAGTGCCATGGCTGAGAAAGAACTTCTAAAATCAATCTCATTCACAATGGCTACAAAAAGATCAAATATCTTAGAATAAACTTAACCAAGGACATCAAAGATCTCTATGATGAGAATTACAAAACATTAAATAAAGAAATAGAAGATGACACAAAAAAAATGAAAAAAAATCACGTTCATGGTTTGGAAGAATAAATATCATCAAGATGTCCATACTAATGAAAGCAATTCAAAGATTCAATGCAATCCCAATCAAAATATGAAGAACATTATTCTGAGATGTAGAAAAAATATGCTTAAATTCATACAGAAACACAGGAGATCCTGAGTAACTAAAGCCACCTTATACAGCAAAAACAAAGCCGGAAAAATCACAAAAGCAGATTTTGAAACATAATACAGTGCAGTTATAATCAAAACAGTCTGGTACTAGCACAAAAACAGATGGATAGACCAATGAAACAGAATAGAAATGCCAGAAATTAACCTATGCATGTACAACTGACCCATCTTTGGCAAAGAAGCTAAAATCAATCCCTGGAGCCAGGACAGTCTCTTCAACAAACGGTGCTGGGAAAACTGGATCTCCACGTGCAGAAATATGAAGCAGGACCCCCACCTTACACCTTACACAAAAATCCACTCAAAATGGATCAAAACCTTAATCTATGACCCGATACCATCAAACTACTGGAGAATGTTGGGAAAACCCTGCAAGACATTGGCATAGGAAAGAGTTCTTGGAAAGACCCCAGAGGCACAGGCAATCAGAGCCAAAACTGACAAATGGGAATACATCAAATCGAGAAGCTTCTGCACTGCAAAAGAAGCACTCAGCAAAGAAACAGAATGGCAGAAATTACTTACAAACTCTGCAACTGATACAGGCTTAATGACCAGAACATATGAAGAGCTCAAGAAACTCAACAACAACAAAACAAACAACCCAGTTAAGAAATGGGCAATGGATTTAAAGAGGCATTTTTCAAAAGAAGAAATCCAAATGGCCAAGAGACACATGAAAAAATGCTCAGGATCACTAGCCATCAGGGAATGCAAATCAAAACCACAATGAAAGCCGGCGCCGTGGCTCAATAGGCTAATCCTCCACCTTGCGGCGCCGGCACACCGGGTTCTAGTCCCGGTCGGGGCGCCGGATTCTGTCCCGGTTGCCCCTCTTCCAGGCCAGCCCTCTGCTATGGCCAGGGAGTGCAGTGGAGGATGGCCCAGGTGCTTGGGCCCTGCACCCCATGGGAGACCAGGAAAAGCACCTGGATCCTGGCTCCTGCCATCGGATCAGCGCGGTGCGCCGGCTGCAGCGGCGGCCATTGGAGGGTGAAACAACGGCAAAGGAAGACCTTTCTCTCTCTGTCTCTCTCTCTCACTGTCCACTCTGCCTGTCAAAAAAAAAAAAAAAAAAAAAAAAAAAAAAACCACAATGAAGTTTCACCTCATCCTCATTAGAATGGCTTTCATACAGCAATCAACAAACAGCAGATGCTGGTGAGGACGTGGGGGAAAAGTACTCTAACCCACTGCTGGTGGGAATGTAAACTGGTGTAACTACTGTAGCAGGCAGTACGGAGAAAACGCAGAAATCTGAATTCAGACCTCCCACATGGCCCAGCCATCCTGCTCCTGGGAATTTACCCATGGGAAATGATATCAGCATATGAAGAGTCATCTGTACCCCCATGTTTATTGCAGCTCAATTCACAATAGTTAAGATAGGGAATCAACCCAAATCTCCATCAACTGAAGGCTGGATAAAGAAATGATGGGATATGTACACTATGGAATGCTCCATGTTAAAAAAAAAATGAAATCCTGTCGTTTGCAACAAACTAGATGAAACTGGAAAACATCACACTTAGTGAAACAATCCAGTCCCAAAAGGACAAATACCATATGTTCTCCCTGATCTGTGATAACTAATAGAGATCCTAAAAGGTAATCCACAGAAACATAATTGACACTTTGAGATGCAATGACTTTAAACAGCCCTGTCTCAACTGTTGAGGAACAGTTTTTTTCCATAGTATTTGTTGAATTATTTACTTAGTATAGAGTTAATCTCATGTGTATAAAGTTAACTGAAAATGCATCTCAGTGAAAAATAAGAATGGGAATAGCAGAGGAGGAGGAAGGATGGGTGTGTGGGTAGGAGGGTGGGCAGGGTGAGAAGAATTACTATGCTCCTTAAGTTGTATCTATGAAATGCAGGAAGTGTGCATACCTTAAATAAAAGGCGTCTAGTAAAAATAATATAATATAGGCTGGCGCTGTGGCTTACTAGGCTAATCCTCCGCCTAGCGGCGCCCGCACACCAGGTTCTAGTCCCGGTCGGGGCGCCAGATTCTGTCCTGGTTGCCCCTCTTCCAGGCCAGCTCTCTGCTGTGGCCCGGGAGGGAAGTGGAGGATGGCCCAGGTGTTGGGCCCTGCACCCCATGGGAGACCAGGATAAGTACCTGGCTCCTGCCATTGGATCAGCGTGGTGTGCCGGCCGCAGCGCGCCGGCCACGGCGGCCATTGGAGAGTGATTCAATGGCAAAGGAAGACCTTTCTCTCTGTCTCTCTCTCTCACTGTCCACTCTGCCTGTCAAAAAAAATATAATATATATTAAATATAAATTAACTTGAAAGTATAAACAAACTAAAAGTTGAGCCTTTGGTATAGCAGTTACTTCACATCTTGGGATGCCTGCATTCCATATTGGAGTCCCTGCTTTGAGTCCTGGCTATTCGGTTTCCAGTCAAGCTTCCTGCTAATATACACCCTGGGACGCAGCAGGTGACAGCCCAAGTGAGATGCACCCCGAGCTCCATGCTGCTGGTTCTGACTGTTGTGGGCATCTGGGGAGTGAACCAGCAGAAGCAAGATGAGTCTGTCTGCCTGTCTCCAACTAACTTTAAATAAAAAGAAAAGTAATTAATTTTAAAAAAAGAAAATATATCTCTAACTGAAATGCAAAGTATGTATGAAGCTGAAAATGCAAACTAGATATTTATGCATTGCATACATATTTAAAGTCTAGGAAAAGTATCCATTCTAAGCATCTGTATAGGATAAACTAAGTTAATTTTTTCTTTATCATTCTTGGGTTTCTGTTTCTAACATGAGCACACATTACTTTTATAAAAATAATACAAGATAAAAAAAGGAAAACAATCCCTTGTAGCTATCCCACTGGATTGTTTTCTTTTACTCTTTTGCTCTCTCATAAAGAACCTAAATGTACTATCACTTTCACTCATTTCATGCCCCACTCCAAAACCCAAACTCAGTGTTTTGTTTTGTTTTTGTTTTGCTTAGAGTCTATCAAACTGGAATGAATACCAATTACAAGACCAGTGACACCAAAAACACCAAGGGAAATACGAATTTCACAAAATATCCTTGCTAAAACTCACTTGTTTGTTTCCTTAAATTGGATGTCTTATCTGGAAATAAAGGACCGAGCCAGGAAGGCTCAATTTTTCCAATACCAAATCCTCCGAGGCAGATGCTGTTGTTGGCCAGATCCAGGGCCAGCCTCTTCAAGAGCAGGCTGATGACCTGGCTGTCGCCCTTCCCGATGCTGACGGCCAGCGCCTTGCGCACGTCCTGCTCCCGGGACCCGCTGTCCAGCAGCAGCTCCACCAGCTTGGGGCTGCTCTCCTTCTCACAGACCTGCTCAAGAAAACAGACAAATTACTCCCGAGAGCCTTCCCTTGGGGAGACAGGCAAATTCCAGGTGGGGCGACTTCTCTGTACATCTCAAATTTAGATCGAAGCAAAGTAAAAGGAGGTAAAAGTGACCTTTGAAACAGACAGAAAATTCCCCGAGATTAGTGCCACCAACACGAGAGGAGCATAAAGCAGACAGTGTCGAGTGTGACAGCTGGGAGAAAAAGCTCGGCGACTTGGAGTCGAGACCTTTGTTTGTGCCCAGGCTCCGCCAGCCACGCCAGCTGCCCGCCCCTGCAGGGCTCCTGTTTGCTCACTGGAAGACATGAGAAATGAGTGTCCCAACACAGTCACTGCTCCTGCCCTGCCTGCATTAGTGGCAGGAAATCACTGTGAGAAGAGAAATGTGGTAAACTTCCCACCACCACAGGCATGGACAATCCCTGGCACCTGCAGTTCCTGAGCTCCTGGGGGTCAGAATTCAAATCTCCACATGGGGCCGGTGCTGTAGGCACACTGGGTTAACGCCCTGGCCTGAAGCGCCAGCACTCCATATGGAGCACCGGTTCTAGTCCCGGCTGCTCCACTTCCCATCCAGCTCTCTGCTGTGGCCTGGGAAGGCAGTGGAGGATGCCCCAAGTCCTTGGGCCCCTGCACCTGTGTGGGAGACCTGGAAGAAGCACCTGGCTCCTGGCTTCGGATTGGTGCAGCTCCAGCCATTGCGGCCATCTGGGGAGTGAACCATCGGATGGAAGACCTCTCTCTGCCTCTCCTCTCTCTGTATAACTCCGTCTTTCAAATAAATAAAAAATAAATCTTTACCAAAAAGGTTCACCTTGTCTCTGAGCAAGTGCTCAAGGTGGGGTCCCATGCAAGGGGCTGCAAAGACTAGAGCAGCCTCAGCACGCGGAGGGAGACCCAGGCCTGAGATGTACCTGGCCCGCTGCATAATGGCTTCAGAAGCACGATGGGATGGGATGTTCTACCAGCTGGAAGATGAGAATAATAGCCTGCAGAAATATTATATGCCAGGTACCGTGCAGAATTTGTATATACGAGGTGAGGAGACAAGGCCTTTGTGAGCAACTCTTGACTCCTCTGGAATTGAAGTGTTTCCTAGGGGTTGGAGGGGAAAGTGCTCTGGTGGGATGGCACTCAAAGCCCACCTGTCCCTGGATCACCCATCTTCCACCCATCACCCTGGGATCCATGAACAAGCCACTGTGTGGTTTAACCATGCATAACCCCGCTGGTTCAGGACACCCCACTAGACACAAGAGGCAGCTTCTGGAAATTCCTGCCCTTCCCAAATGCCCACTCTGCTTGCTCTCAAAGACACGGCTTCAAAGTCTCACGTGTGGCAAAGTCCTCCCCAGCCACACACACCCCTCCTCATCCAGCTCCAGCCCATCTCGCTTAACACAGCACGTAGCAACAGAACCAGGCACAGTCTGTTTTCTCACCACAGCGTGAAGGTGTGTGAAAGAATACAAGCCCAGCTGTGCCCCAGAAGGCCAGCCCCGTGCCCTGGGCTGAGACCTCGCCGACCGGCAAATCACTGACATCTTCCTAAGGGGGCCGCAGCAAAATGAAAAAGGAAGACAGGGAGGGAGGGAGGCAGGCAGTTGAGGAGGAAGAGGAGGGACGGAAGAAGGGAAGGAAAAAACACCAAACTCAGACGCCTTTCTGGCGGCCTGGCCAGCTCTCAGGTCTGGGTTAGAGCACCTACTGTCTACTTGGTACAAACGTGTCTTAGCTTCATCCTCTTGCCAACCTACACACACACACACACACACACACACACACACACTTAGAAAGACACTCTCTCAAAAGACAAAGCCCTTTCTCTATTCTCTCCTAATCCTCCAGCACTGTGCTTTAACAAAAAGGAGACTCCTCACACTCTGGTCAAGGGAACTTTCTTTCTTTAAGGGACCCAAACTATTCAAGTCAACTTGAAATATATGGTACCCCAAAGAGAGAGGTGTACAAGCATAAGACGGTCCATCACAGAAATAAATGCTGACAACAACACAGAATGATCTCTTTACAATGCACCTATCGGGGCCAGCACTGTGGTATAATAGGGTAAGCCTTGGTCTACAGCACCAGTATCCCATATGGGTGCCAGTTCATGTCCCCGCTGCTCCTCTTCCAATCCAGCTCTCTATTAATGGTCTGGGAAAGCAGTGGAAGATGGCATAGGTTCTTGGGCCCTTACACCCATGTGAGAGACCTTGGAGAAGCTCCTGGTTCCTGCCTTTGGACCAGCCCAGCTCCAGCCGCTGCAGCCATTTGGGGAGTGAAGCACTGGGTGGCAGCTCCTCCATCCTCACCAGGAAGAGGTACCTGTGCTCCCTGCACAGGGACTGCAACCCTGGGCCCCAGCGCCAGGCTGCCTGAGGTGTGAGCTGTGCACAGCTCTCACAGCAGCACCCCTGTGGGGAGCAGCACCTCACAGAGTCCAGCCTTGGCATCCACACCCTGTCCGATGTGTGCAGATGGAAGACCTCTCTCACCATGACTGACGAGTCTATCCGTGTACCTTCTTGCCTGCCATTAACCCTCCACTCTCTCCACTGAACACACGCAGTCCATCATGTAATTCTCCTTAATTATGCAAGTTCCTGGTAATGAAGAAGCAGCCTCAAACATCTTACTTTGAACTTGTTCAAAATAAGGCTTATTACACAAATCTATTCACGATATTTAATCAATACTTATAAGATGCCAGATACAAACAACCCCTGACAACTAGGATAAATTCTTCAAACGGAACACATAATCCTTGGATATGCAAATCTGATTTAGCGTAAAGAAGTGACGACAAGCACATCAAGTCCAAAGGAATACGGGAAGAGCAACAAAACGAAAAGCATCCTCCAGAGAAGGATCTGAGTGGACTGAGAGAGGAAGAAAACCATTTCCAGTGAGGAATCAACGCGATGGCAAAGTAGAAAAGAATTCAGCATCTCTAAGTAAAAATGATGCAATGATCTTCACATAAAAGATATACTGTAAAAATTAATTAAATTACTGAGGGAACTAATTTACATTTAATCATAGGGAAGTAACTATTTTCACTGATGCTTCCTTAAAATTAATTTGATTAAATTGAAATTATTTTAATATTGATTTTAATGCATAAACATAGTAGGGCATGAACTGAGTTCCAAGTTCCATCCAATTTGTCAATCGCTAATTAGTGGCAAGTTCATCTTATAGCTGACAAATTGGAATCCATAGGTAAGTGGGAAATTAAATAAAGTAGAGCTTTACCAATAAATTATCTGAAGACACAGTACCCTGCTTAGTATTTTATAATGTATATTAAATCACCACATAATTGCCTGGTTGAAATGTCATTACATTTCTTGGAAATAGACACGGGGCTACCCAAATGCCATTATAAACTCTAAAAATCATGCAACTTAGATTAATCCTCAACACAGGTAAGACACTGTAGAAAGCATTTGTCATCTACACCCTGAATGTAAAGCAATGAACGAGGGATGTCACAAAGATGAACAGTGTATATTTCTGTTTATGTACAACCCACAGAATATTCGGGAAGTACACAATCTGTCATGGACTTGCAGAAGGGAATTCTCACTGTGTTTGAAGGCTTGTGGGTGTGGGAGGGCTTTTCGAGGAAAGAGAATGTGGAGTAAGGTTTGAACCAGTAGGAGAAGCGGGCAGATGTGGGTGAGCAGGGATCAGGAGGGAGGGACACGCAACTTTGGGGGTGCCAACAGCAGAGAATATCTCTGCTACCATACCCCAGGGCCATGTAATGTAGAATCACAAGGAACAGCCCTTAGAGAACCTTCTAGACAGAGAATCTAAACACAGGGGGAAAGGGCTAGAAAAGGATCAACCCTCTAGAACCATGGGTCATGTACAACGTGGCTGGAGAGCAAGCCATAGAGAGATGGAGCGTGAGAGACACAGGTAAGGCTGCTTCTCAGCCTACAAGGTGTGCGAGCAAGGCAGATGAGGAACTGGGCTGAGGGCTGATGCTCTGCCAGTCTTAAGGACCACATCCAAGCCAGTGTGTAGTCAACGGCTAAGATGTACAGTCAAGATTATCAGATGTACCAGTCATCTACCAAAAGAAAACAAAAATGGCCGACATGAATATGAAAAAGTACCCAAGGTAGCCAATCATCAGAGAAGTGCAGATAGAAGATAACAAAACGTAGTAAGAGGGCCGGTGCTGCGGCTCACTAGGCTAATCCCCTGCCTGCGCCACCAGCACCCCGAGGTTCTAGTCCCGATCAGGGAACCGGATTCTGTCCTGGTTGCCCCTCTTCCAGTCCAGCTCTCTGCCGTGGCCCAGGAGGGCAGTGGAGGATGGCCCAAGTGCTTGGGCCCTGCACCCGCATGGGAGACCGGGGGAAGCACCTGGCTCCTGGCTTTGGATAGGTGCAGCACGCCGGCCACAGCGTGCCTGCCGTAGCGGCCATTTGGGGGGTGAACCAACGGAAAGAAAGACCTTTCTCTCTGTCTCTCTCTCACTGTCTAACTTTGCCTTTAAAAAAAAAAAGTAATAAGTGTTGCTGTTGGGGAAGATGTGGAGAAAAGAAAACATTATTTTAGGTGGGAATGTAAGCTAGTGTAGCCATTATGGCAAACAGTACGAAGTTTCTTAATATATTAAAAATAGGAAACCACTGTGAACTAGCAGTCCCAGTAATGAGTGTATGTATTCAGAGAAATTTAAATCTGTCCAAGAGACATCTACATCCCCATGTTTACTGCAGCACTATTTATAATAATAAGAAATGGAATCAACCCAAGTGTCTATCAATTGATGAACAGATAAACGAAATGTAGTATCCATAAATGATGGACTATTACGTAAGAAAAAAAATCCTGTTATTTATGACTGCATGATGAACCTGGAAGACACTGAGTGAGGTGAAATAAGGCAGACAGAAAAGGACAAACATCACATGATCTCACTCACACAGGGAAGCTAAAAGAGCGGACCCCACAGAAGTAGAGCTCTGGTTACCAGGGGGTGGTTGGTGGGGAGAGCAGGATGTGCAGATGTTAGTCAAAGGACACACAACTACACGTCAACAGAAGCACTTACGTAGGTAAGTGATTGCTTAGGGCAAGGGGGCGAGGGACAGACGGCACCGGGGAAGAGGAGAGAAACAAGGAGTGACTCTTAACGGAGAAGGGGGTCTCTGTGCAGGACGAAAATGTCCCACAGCTGACTGCAACGACAGCTGTGCAACTCTTTAAAAACACTATGGCCCCCTGGGTAAGACACTTTAAATATCTGAATTGTACAATTTGTGGTGTATCTCAACAAATCCTTTTTAAAAAGCCAGAATACAATGTAAGAGCTATACAACATGAGGACCAAGTAACAGAGCAGAGACAGAAGTGAGGCCTTCAGTATTCACCTGACAAATTAAAGAAGTGGCCTCCTTGGTCTGGTTGGCGTCAGCTCCCAAGAGCAGCAAGCACTCCACCATGATGCTGTTGTTCTGGTCACAGGCCCGCTGCAGCATCGCATTCTTAAGCTCATCCTCCATGGCCAACTTTGCAAAGCACTTGCAACAGAGGCTTAGAAACTAACCAGAACAGAAAAGAGCATTAGAGACAGCTAAATGCAAAACCTCTCGATGACAGGCAGACAGCACCGTACCTGCTGATCCTTCTGTTCCGTAATACTGGAAGACATCTGATGGAATATTACTGAATCAAATGAATGGTGGACAAGCAGCTTGGAAAAAGACACTGACAATTCAAGTATTGCTAAGACGGTCCGAAAACCCTGCAAATGAACCAGAAGTCACACTAACATTACGTGAACAGTCATGAGCCTAAAGAATCAGAGTAGTGAAACACAGAAGCTCTGCACGTGCTCTTTCACTCCTGCTGTGTTCAGTTACTTAAGTCCCTGCATTTTTGCTTCTCTACTCTATGCTGTAAGCACTGAAACATTCCTGTGAATGATCTTTCCTCTCTCCCTGTTAAGAAATTTAACAGGAAGGGCCCGTGTCGCAGCACAGCAGGTTAAGCTGCCACTTGCGACACTGGCATCCCATATGGGCAAAGGTTAGTGTGCTGGTTGCTTCACTTCTGATCCAGCTCCATGCTAATGCACCTGGGAAAGCAGGAAAAGACAGCCCAGGTTCTTGGGCCCTTGCTACCCACATGGGAGGCCCAGAAGACACTCCTAGCTCCTGGCTTAACTCTGTCCGAGGCCCAGCCATTGCACCATCTGGGGACTTCATCAGAGGATGAAAGATCTCTCTGTCTCTCTCTTTGCCTTCCTTCCTCCCCTGATCCCTCTCTCTATAACTTTGACATTCAAATAAATAAATAAATAAATAAATCTTTATAAAAGAAAAACAGCAGGTACACAGAGAACAAAATGATGCTAACATCTACTATCAATGCAGGGAAAAACCTACTCCTCCAAAATTGGTTTTCAAAGATCCCTATCTGAAGCCTTGGCTACAGGCTACAGGCTGCCACTGAATTGGGGGGGCTTCTTAAACCACCACCTGCGGCCTCCCGGGGTGTTCACTAGCAGGAAGCGAGCACCAGAAGCAGAGCTGAGATTCGAACCCAGGCTCTCCCAAGCAGAACGCCAGCGTCCCAGTAGCGTCGTAGCCGCCAGTGCAGGCACCTACTCCGCCCCTTCTCAGAACCTCAGGCACATCCTGAGAGCCGTCTGGCCTCCGAATTCACAGGATGTTTAAGCAGAGCTTGGGTTTCTGAGTTGAGGATTATTGAGCTTGGGAAAACTCACCAAAGGTATCTTAATGTTTTATCTTTTTACTATTTTAGCTCCTCTAATACAGCATATTCATGAAATCATCTAAAGCGTAACATGATTTTGAGCTCAGAAGAGGCCACGTTTCCACAGCTGCTCACTAACACCCATAGCAAAGGTGACTAATGGGTGCAAGCCTGGGGGCCGTGGGCTCCGCGGGCCCAGAGCCGCTTCCTGCAAACTCCACTGTGTACCACAGCAAGGCGGGGTGGTGGGGGTGGGAGTGTCCTAGGCCCACAGCTCAAATTATAAACCTCTAAATAAAATATGATGATGGGCCCAACTGAGCCCATGGCTGACAGCTTCCAACCACTACAATAGGGACCCTAAAATTTACGCCATGGTAACAGAGCGCGGCATTGCAACACAAAATCATCTCCTTTCCCTTTTATGAGTTCTGCCTTGGCTCTCAGCCGTCTAGCCTGAGGCATGCTGCACAAAGATTTACAAAATGCCTTGTTTCTGTCAATCTGAGGACGCTGTGTGTTCAGCAGTTTATAATTGAAAAAGCATAATCGCAATTTACTGACAATGTCTGTGCAAAGGTTACAGTGTAGATATTTTCATTCCTGCCCAAAGCTGCCATTTATGAAAATATTTGCTGAGTGTCGTTTCCAAAGGATGCCAGCTCCATCATTAGAGGAACCACAACCACGGCAGAAACGCTTACAGAAACGCTTTCTTTCATAAACATACACAAAAAGGAAACAGAACTCATTTCCTAAACTCTCCTGCAATAAGCCTAGCCCAACATCTTGAAATCCTTGTGAAAACGGTTATTATGTTGCTTTTAAATTTTGCCTGATGAAAATGTTCAAAAATACATATTCTCTTCCTGGAAGGAAAAAAAAATCAACAAGCTCAGTCTCAAGAAGCAAGCATCCCTTGCCGGCGCCACGGCTCACTAGGCTAATCCTCCGCCTTGCAGCGCCGGCACCCCGGGTTCTAGTCCCGGTTGGGGTGCCGGATTCTGTCCCGGTTGCCCCTCTTCCAGGCCAGCTCTCTGCTGTGACCCGAGAGTGCAGTGGAGGATGGCCCAAGTGTTTGGGTCCTGCACCCCATGGGAGACCAGGAGAAGCACCTGTCTCCTGGCTTTGGATCAGCGTGGTGCTCCGGCCGCAGTGGCCATTGGGGGGGTGAACCAACTTCAAAAGGAAGACCTTTCTCTCTGTCTCTCTCTCTCTCTCACTGTCCACTCTGCCTGTCAAAACAAACAAAGAAACAAACAAACAAAAAAAGAAAGAAGCAAGCATCCCACAACAAAACAAGGCAACAAACTGGAATAATTGCAGCTTTTATTTACCTAAACCTTAAGCAAATAAACTGAGCAAATAAGCAATAAACTAGCTGGGAGTCCTTCCACACATTATCTAATAAACATGGTGATTTCAGAAATTTAATAATCGCATGCTGGATCCCCAGAGATTCCATCCAATCTACGAAGCAAATACTATGAAGAGAGCCGCAATGCCCGTGAATGCAAATCGGCAATCGTGCCAACTGCTCTGCCCGCGGCGCCGGCCCAGGCCACCCCACTTACTTCCAACTGCACTTCAGCAGCGTCCTTGAACCGCTGCAAGCTGGACACGAGAATTTTCGCCAGCAGATGCCCGGTTCCTGTGCATAAATTTTTCTTTGCAATCAAGCGTCCTACAAGACTTAAACCCAGACACTGAATTTCTAGGAGAATAAGACAAAAATGCACATAAAACGCATTGCTTTACAGCTCAAAACTAGATTTAAAAAAAGAACATTCAAAGACATCGAACCAGCATCCAGTGGCCTGTGAGGATCCAATGCACCGACCTTGGTCATCCGGGTACATGTGCAGCGTGTGCAGCACCGAGTCAACAGCACCCTCCAGCGATAGCACCTCTAGCGCATCCGGCACCTGCGTTATCGAAGCCATGACTTTCAATCCACATTTCTGAATCCCAGGATTTCCAATGAACTAAAGTCAAAAGAGGATGGAAGGTTATTTGCTGTTCAGAATGAAGTCTTAATATGCACCTGAGTTAAAACCAGTCAGACTCCAATAAAGCATAAATCGAGGAACCCAAATACAAATCAGTACCCTTTATTCTGTCTTCTTTTACTAACTACTGTAATTGATTATCAAAGGTAAGAGTTAGCAAGCGAACATATCAGGCATGTGCTCAATACTTCACAGGCATTTCCTTACACTTCCATCTCACAAAATCCAAACCAACTCCGCTGCCATCAGAACACGGGTTCGCCGAGGACAGAAGGGTTGAGAAATGCCTCCTGAAATCACACTGACTGCAAGTTGGGGGAACAAGAGCATCTCTAATGTCATGGCATCCCCACAGATGTGCCTGCCCCACACGGGCACCCACGGAGCAGGAAGGGCTTTAGATCCAGCCCCTCCAGCCTTTCTCACTGCCACCCTCTCCGTGAGCAGACGTCCGTCCCTTTCCCAGTCCAGTCACTCAGTGCCATCCAGGGGTTCTGACTTGGTGCTCCCCACCCCCACTGACCCTGCTCCTCAGCCCCTGCCGCCCAGCCTGGCCGTCATCTCTGCCATGAGGTGAACGAGGCCCCACTCCCTGACCTGTCCTGGTGCTGCTTCCCCATCACTATTTCCACCTGACCAACTCCATCAGGAGTCAAAGTGCATCAGCTTCAAGGTCAAGAAAACTTGGGTTTCAACTGTGTGAGTCTCAGGACTATCTAAAAGGAGGCTGTAACAGTGACCCAGAAGAGGTGAATCGGGGGTTATCCTAGAAATAGAAGCAATCCAGAGCCACACAAAGCAAAGCTGGAGGGACGGCCATGTCTGCCTCAGCTTCCTCGCCAGTGAAACCATCCTGGTCTCACAGGGCCACCAGGAAGATGAGAAAAATCAACTCTGCCCAGGCAGTAAACTGAGTGGTGACCACAGGTCCACAGAGCACACTGTGAGCTGAGCACTCAGAAATGACACTCGAGTTACAGGGAGGGAGACGCTGCTGCACCGGGCGTGCCCGTCCATCAAGTGTCACCTCCTCTTCATTTCTGAACTCACGAACACAGAAGTCCTCACCCAGCACCACCACACTCTCCCCGCCTTCCCTTTCACACATTGAGACTCCTGCCCGACCATTCAGAATTAAAACCACGCAAAGTCATCCACCAGCTTCACGGCCACTTTCTTAACTTCCATGATTCCACCCTCCCCTCACTGTTCTCAAACTTGAACATTCACTGGCCCATCTCCTTGATGATATCATCCTGTAGCTGCAGACTTCACTGAAAACTCTGTTCCTACAGCTCTTCTATTTGTGGTGGGGCTTCATTCACCCACATGGCCCCGAGCCCAACAGCGAGAGCACCAGCAGTCACAATGCCTGCTCCTCGGAAGCACCTGCTGTGTGCCAGATACTCCTAAAGGCACATCCTGTACATCAGCTCACTTGGCCCTCAGAAAAGCCCTCTGCCGTAGACATCTGCTGTAGACATACTATAACTCTCTAGGGATTGATAAAAAAAAGTGGGACCAGGACCTTTAGCAGATAACTGAACACCCGAGTTTCAGCCTCTTAAGCTCAAAGTCCATTATTTCTCTCTGCTTGACACCAGCATCTTCAACTCAGGGGTTCAAAGTCAAATGTTTAGAATCTTCTCAAAACAAAAAGTCAGACTGCCATGCATCTGTGTTCAATTACCAGCGCTATCATTCCTGCTGGCCAGGCAAGCCAGCTTCCCAGGTGCGAACTTGCGGGATCACACACAGCTCTGTGCTTCCAAGGGCCCCACTGCTGCTTTAATGCTGTGCTGTCCCTGGGTTTAAATAAAATTCTCACATAAAAGGCCCTGCACTTTCGTTCCATACTGGGCCCTTCAGATTACCTAGCCACACCTGATGCAAAGCTCAAGACTTTCCATAGGCTTATTTATGTGTTAACATCACATCAAATCACTATGTATAAAGCACTTATCTCTGTCCTTAACACCTTCACCTCTAAGAAATTCATTTTTTAAAAAAACATTTATTTGGAAGGTGGAGTGATGGAAGGGTGGGGGCAGGGCAAGGAAACAGAGCTACCTAGCAACTTATTTCCTCAAAATGCCCACAATGGTCTGGCTGGGAAGGTTGAAGCCAGCAGCCAGGAACTCCATCTGGGTCTCCATGTGGGTGGCAGGGGTCCAAGCACTTGGGCCACCTTCTTCTTCTTTTCCAGGCACATCAACAGGGAGCTTGGATCAGAAATAGAGCAGCCAGGACTCCAACTAGCCCTCTATGTGGGATCTGGCACTGCAAGCCAGTGTCTCCTCTAACAAACTTCTAAATCAACTATTGGTCCTTGCTACATTGACCTGCCCTAGTCTCAAACCATTTCAGGTCCAGTTGGATAATCATTAATGACTTCTAACAGGAACTCTAACTTGGCTATGCACAAAAAGAAATCAGAGTTTCACAAGATTACCTATGACTGTGCTTAAATAAATTCATTAGAAGAGTGGAGCCAGCTGGTGGTGCAGTGGGCTAAACCATCGCTTGGACACTCACATCCCATATCCAGGGGACAGTTCAAGTCCTGGCTGCTTCACTTCCTATTCAACTCCCTGCTAATGCACCTGGGAAATCAGTGGAGGATGCCCCTGCAACCACATGGGATACCTGGAGGAAACTCGTGGCTCCTGGCTTTGGCCTGGCCCAACTCTGGCTGTTGCAGCCATCTGGGGAGTGAACCAGTCGATGAGAGATCTCTTTCTGTCTCTCTCCCTCTCAACCACTTTTTTAAGATAATATTTATATCTTCAGTTGGGTATTTCATTTTTAAATACAGAAACCTTGAAAACAATATGGTTATTATGTATGCATGACATTATGATACACTCAGGGCTTCCTGAGACTTCCCGCACTTATCTAAAGCACCCCCATGGAAGCAGGACATTTTTTGCATCACTGTTTATGTCAGGATGAAAGTCAATTTACTCATTTCTACTTAGCCGATGTTTTCCAGGTGAAAAACTATGCCCCACATCCTTTCACATGTCTGCCATGAATAACTGACTAGGTTTCTGGAATAAGTGTACTAACTCGCCAGCTCCACGGGAAGCTGCCTACACTGGCCTCTTTGCCAACTACAGGTAACCAGGTTCAAGAAAGAAGAACTATTCGCAGATGCTGTGGGCTTTTGTTTCTTGCTTCCTGTTCTCTTTAAAAATCCCATGTTTGCTCTTGAGAAATGTAAAAAAGGTATGGATTGGTAATCATGAATATGAGTAGATGGGTAATAAATTGTAGTTACCTCCATATCCTCTGAAAAATAAGAGGATTAAGCCAAAAGAGGTCCAACATCAAAAGACTGAGATCCTCTAAGGGAGATAAAGTAATAAAACAGAATTTATGGATATTTAAAGATGCAATTCAAGGAAACATTTCAGGGGAAAAAAAGTTAGATACAGCTAGAATGAGGGCACCATATCCCAGGACTAACACTGAGAGAGATCCCAATTAAGTGGTTGGATTTCAAGATAAAGAATCCTTCAGGGAGCCAAGCAAAAACATCCAAAAACAAACAACAACTACAACGTAAAACAACCCATTTAAAAATAAGAAGCAAATGCAGCTGGTCTCAGACTTCTCCACCCATCTATCAGTACCAGGATACAGAGAGATGATGCCTACAAATACTGACATCTTAACACCAACCATGCCCTCTTTTCAAGTCTAAATATGCAAACAACAATAACAAAAACTCTGAATATTAAAGTATTTAGAAAGGGGCTGGTGCTGTTGCATAGAAGGCTAAGCCTCGGCCTGGGGTGCCAGCAAGCATCCCGTATGGGTGTTCCATCGTGTCCTGCTTGCTCCACTTCCAATCCAGCTCCCTGCTAATGCACGTGGGAAAGCAGTGGAAGATGGCGAAGCGGTTGAGCACCCATGTGGGAGACCTGGAAGAAGCTCCTGGCTTCTTGCTTCGCATCAGCTCAGCTCCAGCCATTGCAGCCATTTGGGGAGTGAACCAATGGATGTGAGACCTTTCTGTAGCTCTTGCTGTCGCTCTGTCTCTGTCTCTCTGTGACTCTACCTCTCAAATAAAATCGTTAAAAAACATTTAAAAAATCTTTTAAAAATAAGTGGGAAATGAAACTTTTTAAAGACATTCAGATTGGCTGGTGCCGTGGCTCAATAGGCTAATCCTCCGCCTTGCGGCACCAGCACACCGGGTTCTAGTCCCAGTCGGGGTGCTGGATTCTGTCCCGGTTGCCCCTCTTCCAGGCCAGCACCCCCTGGGAGACCAGGATAGGTGCCTGGCTCCTTCCTTCGGATCAGCGCAGTGTGCTGGCCGCAGCATGCTGGCCACAGCGGCCATTGGAGGGTGAACCAACTGCAAAAAGGAAGATCTTTCTCTCTGTCTCTCTCTCTCACTGTCCACTCTGCCTGTCAAAATAAAAATAAATAAATAAAGACATTCAAATTAAAAAAAGAGAAACTAAACCAAAAGCACTTGAGGTGGACACTGATTCTGTGCAGCTGAAGGAGTAAGACGAAGGCAAGCTGAGGAAACACAGGGTTATAAAGTGGAACGCAAACATTGTATATGCTGCCAATGTCGCAACCCATTAGTATATAAAGAATATAAAAATTACCTAACAGTAGTCAGCAGTGTGTGTGGAAATCAGAATAGTCTGATATTCCCATCTTTTACAGCCAGAATCAAAAGACGTCTTCAAATTTAATACCAATAAAGTAAGTAGGGCACATGCTGTGGCACAGCGGGTAAGGCCACCACCTAGGATCTACTTGAGTTCCTGCTGCTCGACTTCCAATCCACCTCCCTGCTAGTGCACCTGGGAAAGCAGCAGAAGATGGCCCAGGTCCCTGGAACCCTGCATCCATGTGGGAGACCCAGATGAAGCTCAGAGTTTTAGGCTGGCCCAGCCCTGGCCCTTGCAGCCATACGGATAGTGAACCAGCAGATGGAAGATCTCTGTCTCTAC